GATCTCTTGAAATTTTAGGTCATTGTTAGTTTTTCCGAGAAATTTTGGCTGCACTTCTCTACTCCAAACGAAGCGCCTCCGATTACTTGGGAATTAGCTGGTGTAACATGCATTCGCTGACCAAATCAGCATTTGTGGAGAAACGCATTCCCTTGTACATTTTATCAAAAGGCTTCCTCAGTTTGCTGAACCAACTGGAAGTTGTTTCTAGAAGAATAATATTTAACTTAGCCGTATGTAGTTGCGCATCACAATGTTTCGCTCGTGTTCTGAGAGCGTTCTGATGCTCCACACCAGCTTAACTGGGGACAAGCTGACGTAACCCTAACGTCAAACCGCAGTGTGTTGCTGTTTTGTCTTGTAAGCTGGATGATGCCATGCGCATCATAATCTCGGGTCATTCTCGCATTACTGGTCATGTGGATATATCTTTTAGACAATTTTTGATCTTCTGCTACCTCTGAGAATGCACCCAGCTAGCAGAAAACGACAGGCGCAGTTTTGAGCTTTCTAAAATGAATTAGCTCAAATCATATTTTTCTGCAACCATCACTGAAAGCTTAGTGATAATTAAATTTATTCATTGGATTTTAACAAGACTCGGGCCAAATACACATTCCGCTTGCTCGCTCACCTACGATTCACCCGCTCACTCACTCAGTCACTCACTCACACTTTTATATGATATCATTTCGCTCCACGTTTTATACGCAAATGTGCCATTTAATTAGGGCCGCGGTAGCATGAATTCATGCGCCATGCTCCGGTTGCGTTTAGCATTGGCGGATCCTAATGTTTGCACTTTAACTAGAAGTATTGTTTTAATCTAAACGTCATAGAGAAACGAAAGCATAAGTAAAGCTTATGAGGATGCGTCGACATTAGCGGGTTCGCCAAATTCCCTAGGAATGTCGTTTCTTTGTCTTTATTTCCGACTTGCATATGATTCAGTCGGTAAATTGCACCAGATTGGTGGATAGTGATTTTGTTCAAACTGTGACATTATCTCAAAGAGAAAAGCCATTTATCTGCACACACGTCAAATGCATGTAAAATAGATCTTCCACTGATGGGAACATGCTGGCTTTGTTTCCTGGTCCATGTACCTAGTGTATTTGGTAACTTTTGTATCTGGTGTAATGTTTCTACAGCATCGAACACTGTGTCTAGTGTTGTGTGTCGAAATGATTGTCGGCCATCCACACCCGGAGTATAAATTCATTTATTCTGTCGTGCATCCCTAAACACAATTTGGTTATGAGATCTGAGGAGAGCGCGTTCGACACTCGGGTGCAGGGTTCGGATTTCCTTCAACAGGCAGGGCCTAAAATTCACCGGTGTCAACGAATTCTCAGTTTAACAAAGAAAGTCCATTTTGACAGGGAAGAAGTCAGAAACCTCCGGAATCCGTTCAAGAGCTGGGGCGATTCTGCCTTATTTTCCGACCAGCATTGATAATAGATGGGGTCAGTTCTACGACACCAGTGTTTAGTTTACTCATCCTGGCTTTTCATTTGACATGCCCATTCGCTGCTGAGAGTTTGTTTAGATTTGTGTCCTTTAACGCAGTAACAGAAATAATCCACCTTTTATTCCCCATCGAATCAATCTTCAGATTTACATACTGCGTCAGCACATGCGGTTCATCTGCAGTCCGCCGAGTGGACTACCATTTCCAGCGCGATGTTCATGGTCATCAAGTGGTAGAATAACTTGCATGTAGTTGATGATGTGGTTTGGTTCACTGCACCGAAAATTGCGTTGATTTCAAAGAATGAAACTGGACCTGAATATCCTTGCTATTACTGAGTGCTAGAAAGAACATTTTAAGTGGATAGCATCGTGGTGGTTTGGTACCCATTAAGCCTTATTCTCAATGGCGCAATGCCTTTTGACTTTAACGATTCCATTATTCCTTCCAACTCCTCGTTAATCATTCTATTTCTAGCCAGGAAGAATGGGAAACTTTGAGACGCATCGCAATGAAATTTATTTGTCTCATCACCCATAACATATTGTGACTACTGTGTTTCATCTCTTGAAAATCCGCGTCGCCTGCTTTGAAATCACATGTATAAAAGCAATTTGCATACTGACAAACCTGACGTAAACGATTGCCGTCGGCTATATTTATTTATTTATCCCCGCAAGATGAGGAATATCGACGGGTGTCTTCTTTTCTTATTGTAATTTCTATAGTTGCTGAGTAGACACCCGTCTGAATGGATTACCTGATTTCAGCCGGAAACTTCGGCCGATTTGATTTTGAAGCAACCGGTCCTGATAAATCTAACAACTCAGTAGATTATAAGTCATCTGAAACTGTTTTCGAGAACGTCGCTTTAATTACAATTTGTCTATCCTATTATCAATGAAAATAGTTGAAATACTGCATTTTTCCATAATGACTGATAGCTGACGAACTTACAGTCTACTTCCCTATATTCCTACTCGCATATTGAGTGTGACGTAGGAAGTAAGCACCTGCTCGTAATACATATCTAACTAGTTATATATTTGGGGCGTCACCGTCTACATCTGTGTCATCATGCGTATCTTGAGGTTAAATCGTAAAGGGGCGTATTATTTTGGGAACCTTAGGAAGAACTAAATACGGATATTGATTGGCGAACTACATTATATTCTTTAAAGGGGGCGGATGATATGGAATTGTAGCAAATTAAATATACTCCACATCAGACAGATTCGAATCTTACTGCGGATGTTCGTACAAGTTAACCGCTCCTGTGTTGACAAGGAGCATGTATACTACCAAGCGAACTGCAAGTACTTTCCTTTTGATGATGGCCACTTACCGTTCGTCTCAAACAGAAACAAGCCAACCATAAGCTGCTTGATTGAAAATTGGATTCTTGTTTAGGGTAGAGTCACATGTAGCGCACCCCTTGTTTGCAGCCCCGTTTGGCAATGGGTGAGTTTCTAATCCCAGTTAAGTTTTGGAAGTTGCTGACGCATAGTCAGTTCAGCTGATACCTTCAGAATCACAGGACACAAGACAAGTACGGTGTAAAATTCTCCAATATCACTAAACACTAAAATCCCTGGTCGAGTCGAGCGAAGCACAAATTACGCTGGAGTCACAAGTGGGTGTCCAGTTGACCGGGCAAAGTCATGGTTTTTAGTCTTCGCAGAAAACAGCTATAACCGGCGGTCGTGCATACCGGGTGGAATAGGTGATATATAATATTGGGGTAAGCCTCCAACGATTTTGCTGGAAGTTATTCACTGAGTTGTGTGAGATTAACATGGGAGACCATTAGCATCGTGTAGACCTGACGCAGCGGGCACCCGGTTGGCGTAAAGAACACGACAAATGTAGTTGTGAACGTATCGCCGCCGCGGAATCAAAGGTTTTGTCCATGTTTTTATTAAAGCCGATTGTTTCACCCTGATTGGGTTTCATATCATAAGATACGACGCATCAGTGACGTATCAAATCCACCGTCCTTCCAAACTGAACCAAGTTCATCAGGATTGCATGCCAGATCCGGGATCTCGTCAAAAGCTTTTGTATTTTGCTTGCGTTTCACATTTCCCTTACGTTCAAACGCGATCGGACGGATGTGAATTTAGCCGCCAAAATGAACTATGCCGGCGGAACTTTCTGACAATTCCACATTGGATCCGTCAATATCTGTACATTCACTTATGTATTATTACCCATGAGGTTTGCATGGATACTACAAACATAATAAGTTACTGATACCCGGCGAAATTATAGGATGCATAATAGGGTGCTCTAATCTGATTGGGGGCCTGACAGCAAGCGCTGAGACCCAATCCTGAAGTGTTTTCAACTGTCATCAACTATGGGTATAACGTACACCGGACAAAATTTGACGGACGACTTTTGAACGATTCGCGTTTTACCATTTCCATATATGTTTACTTGCAAGCGAAATCAAGTTATACGCTGAAGAACCTACACGCAGTAGCCACATTCTTCCAATCGGATACAATCCACCATATGGTTATTCACCAAATTTGAGTACATTTTTGTGAAAGTATCGTGTGACTTGTGCTAAAAAGCTGAACTGACGGAGATTTGATAACGGATAACTAATGGCCACTGGTAACCGAGTTAATTCTCAGCCGTTTCTTCTGTGAAATGAACGTTGATGAGACATCCCTGGAAGCCAGAGGATGATTCCCAGCTTATATGCATTCGGGGGTGTTATTTAATTGATTTGAAAAATGATAACAATGCAGGACAAGCTAAATTGTTGAACCTACCGAATATTTCCATTAAGTTGTTGTTCAGATAATTTCTAGGTTTGTTGATTTGTCAAGGCTTCAGGTTCTAGTCAACAAAAACCGAAACAATAGACTGCAGATAACAAACAGGTGCTGTATAAGTTTCGCATGGGATCTCCCATAATTCTCAAAGCTAATCAAAACACGTAGCATATAAATTCCGTGGAGGAGTGAATGAGTGAGTGAGTGAGCGATTGATAGAGATTGAGTGAGTGAGTGAGTGGGTGGGTGAATGAGACAGTGAGTGAGTGACCGAGCGAGCGACCTAGTGAATGTCTTCGTCAGCGAGCAAGAAAAAATTGTATCTGAGCATTAATGTATCTAAAATCCAAAAAAAGTTAAACGATAGCTTAGCGTTCCGTGTTGGATGCAGAAATTAAGTCACTAAATCAGTCAGTCACTCATTCACAAACAAAAATATCAGTCATCAATTCACTCACTTAGACATTCACACATTCGCTCAGTTACACATTCAATAACTCACTCACTCACTCAATCATTCATTCATTCATTCATTCATTCACTCACTCACTCACTCACTCACTCATTCACTCACTCACTCACTCACTCACGTTTGCGCCACGGGATCTTCATCCTTATCCTTATCACGGTACTAAATGAAAGGAGGAGGCCTTCGCTGTGGAGGTTTTTTTCGGAAATGCCAACTGATCGTTTACAGTCCACTGAACAAGGAAACAAATCTTTATTCTGCATCTTAATTACAGAAACTGAACACAGATCTTCTCCCGAACGAGTCTTCCCAGAGATTCATTTCCACCAATCCTCCGTCGGTCAAATCCAAGGAAGTGTTACAAAGTGGCCCCATGAATTCCGCAACAGAATTCCCTTTTTCAGGCGACGCAAAGTGAAATTCTACGAACAACACATACTATTTGCGTGCCCTCCGATCAGTAGTATCACCGTTACACGCGTGTCATTTGCGCTCACTTGTGCTATTTCTAGTCATTAGAACGCCAAACGAAAACAGATAGCCGTTTGCAGGCATCAGGTTATCAGTTGCTTGAGTCTGAACCCGCAGCATGACTCCACTGAGTTTCATAAACAATACTGAGCATGATTCTCCATGGCCATTTTCATTGGTGGGCATCCGACGTCATTTAGTGCTTTGCCACCGAGTTGTTGTATTCCTTGTTTATCATCCACCAATATTCTTTGGTCGTGATCTCTCGATGGTCGCTTCAGGCATTTAAAGATTTCGTTTGCAAGCTTTCTGTTTTTGCCATTCTTCAGACGGCTATACATGGTAGTGTAATCGTGTAAAGACTTGCTTTGTCCACGTAGACCGTCCCGGGTGCGCCTGGTGCAATAGAGAAATCAATTTAATCCACAAATTTTATTGCAACGATTTTGCAAGACCCAGAGTGAAACTGCCAACGGTAGTCAAATAATTGAAGTTTGCCACTAGCAGACACGATCGAATCTCGTTTTTCTCTGCTTAAAATGACGGAGAACACAAATCCCATTAGAATTACGTCAACAAATTGGCCAGGCATAACCAAAGACGCGATTTGGTTTCACTGAGACGTGATGATCCACTGACGGAGCAATGAACTAACAACCTGGTATCGATCCTGTCTGTCAAACTCTAGGGCAAAGTAAATCCAGAACCGTAAAGGCTTAAAGAAAAGATCAACAGAAATAAAAACCACTAAAAATAGGGGATACACCTCCAAGTAACAAAACAACGCAGGAGCCGCCCGTGACGCAATACAAATCATCAACGGCTAACTGAAGAGCACGAAACCGGATGGCGATTACAGAAAGCAGCGTGGCCGCAGAAAGCGATAAGTACAAGCCGCAAGTCAACGCATTTTATGATCGTAATCGGTGATTGTAAATGTACGATAAGATTACAGCGCAAAAGCGACTTTGTTAAAACTATGTAATCCAGAGCACGAAAGCTGGTCCATTTCAGCCAACACCGCCCTAGAGATGTCCACTAGAATGGTGGCGAGACGCTTACAAATCACTTGCTATGCTCGGCGAACGGGTAAACAGTCACCTGATCAACTAACAAGCAACTCATCAGTGCGAACTTGTGCAGGAGAGATGACGAAAGCCAGCTTAGTCTTAAAGCACCTAGCAGATACAATTGAAAAAAACTAACAAAACGCATGTTCACCAACCTATCTTCAAGACAATTGGTGGTTACGATATCTATTAGGTATCTACAAATAATTTCCTAACATGCCAATCCTTATGGCGATTGTGACACTGCTGAGGTCAATGGGGTTCTAGAGTCCATTCTTTTCAAAGAATATTGTTAATTCAAATACTTGCATGAACACTTTGTAACAACTGTTACCCGATGAACAAACGAATCCTCGGTTGCTGTGGAAAGAGGCTCTTCAAAAGTGTGCTCTCAGTTCCAAAACGTTATGTGTTCGTATCACTTTTCCTGAACAGTGGAACCGACTCTCCCTCGCAGAGATTGACGTACGTGTTCCTGCTTTTTAATAGACTAGAAAGTTGTGGTGAACTGGTTAAATTTTATGCAGTTTTCCGATCGTCCTGGTCTTGCACAGGATTTTTATATACGCTTGCAATAGTGATTGAAGAAAATCTTAGGTACAATTCAATTTAAGACAATTTCGATTGGAGTGTTTTTATGTTTGAAATGTTTGTCCTCATTTGAATTTTTATCTCTTTTGGTACTAATTTTCCTATGTGCATTAGCTGCATTAGATTGGTGAGGGAAAAAGCGCGTGTGATATTTGCCAGATCGTCAGACGGACCCCTACAGACTGCTAACGCATTATTCCTGTTTATTGGACGGTTGTTCAGGTTGACTAATGGACATTTGGGGCACGGCTATGATTAGCAACTTAATTACAAGCAAACAAGAAGACCTTAGATCCGTCTGCTAGTATTTTTTGTGGATGCGCTGTCAGTTGGCCGACCATAAGCCAGCTGATGTAGTAGAACCAGAGTATGTTGGATGTACGGCTCAACTCATTTTATCATCTCACTTGAAGGAGGTCAACACAGATAAACCTGCAGCCTACCTAGCGGGATGCAATTAGGTGTGGTTTGTTGTGGTTGACCATCTTGTCCAAACACACTTAGGGACCATTTTACCTATTCAGTCTCTAGCAGGTACACGAATACAGGACGATATGCATTTAGTTTGCAACACAATGTTCGAACAGGGTTTATTTCGCTGATGTAACCATACTGTCCTTATCGACTGTTGGACGCATTGACATCCGACGCGCAGTTAAGTAGAAGGGGACGATAGTCTGGTTGTGCACCGTAATTTAATTCTGTAGCGCTTGTCAGGCCGTGGTGTACCACTCTTGTGCCGCTTTACTTCTCGGTGTTGGTCGCCTATCCACAGAGCGGACTGCACTCAATTTCAGAACATTTCTGTCTGATTTTGTTATGAACAAGCTCGCCTAATTTATCGTTCGTTTTTCCGTTCACTGGACTGCTATATTCTCGTCTAATAGCCTGCATGAAATCACGACACTACTCTCTCAAGTGACACCGCGACATGCAATCCCTCCACTAAACATAACATGTCACAGAAATAATGCGCAAAAACAATACAGAATTTTGACGCACATTGGGCCTTTGGCCTGTATGTTACACCAGATTCCACAGAATCAGGTTTTGTGTAACATACCAACGTGGGATGTAGAGGTCCATCACGATTCCACAGGAACTACCGGTAGTGAAATCAGGTTTCACTGATTGTCGCTCTACTTGTGCATCGTCAAGTGGGACGAAATAGCATTCCGTGGATACATGTTTGTTCAAAGTGGTACTGGTTTGATTGCACCAAATAGTTTCTCAGTTTCTGTATGTTGTAATACAGGAATTTTCGTGTATGCACAAAATGCATATCACCATGAGAAAACAGTACCTGGATTTCCAGTGACAAACAATTCGTAAAATTTGCGCTCAGAAGTGCTAATTCTTGGCATTTGAACTCCAAAGGAAAACCGAAAACCGCTTGCAAGCTTCACCGTATCATTCATGAAACATGAAATACTCTGTCTGCAATTGCAGCATGACTCCACTAAATTTTGAAAACAATGTTGACCATGATTTTACATGGCCATTGTCAATGGTGGGCATCCAACGTCACTTAGTGATCTGCCACCGAGATTATATCACTCTTGGATCTGTTCAGCTTTGGGTAATTCGCATGTTTAGCTAAGAAGCAAATACATGTCCTTACCACTCTCTGCTCTCCATTAAATGACTGGTGGGAATTCGGGAGGCAAGTCGAATTCACCAATAATCTGTCGTCTGCAATATAACCCAGCTGAAGATTTATTGACATAACGGTTCTTTCTATCAGGCGAAACAACTCGGTATACGGCAAGTGACCATCAAACAAACAATGGTGCAGATAGCCGCATGGACTCGCAATTCAAATCGATCCAACTGCAAATGCGTAGCTATGGAACTGTAAAGCAGTGAATCAACTAAAAAGAACGAAAAATAATCATTTTCAAACTATGTTGTCATTTATGATTGATCCAACGTGCGAGGCGAAACTCCACATTCTTTTAAGTTGAAATCAAACAACATCACCAACTCTTCCATTGAGTCATGGCCAACCGTTGAATTGAGGTCCTCAAGCACACAAACTTCTGAATTCGTACAAATAATTCATGGAGTTCTCACGGTTTGCGATCCTTCCATGTATTATTGATTGAATCAGCGGAGCGGAATCTTTTGTATTATTTCCGGAAACCGGACTGGTTTTGATGAATTATACGTATGGCTCGCAAAGTTGACTTAATATAAACAGGCTAAATTGCTCATTTGGGACAACCATAACAAGCGGACAGGACGACTCCATCTTTCATCCAATTAATCATTCTACTCAAACCACCAAACTTGCGTTCATCATCAAGTGCACAGAGCTGCTCTCGAGTTGCCTTCCAGTGAATAATATCCTCAGTTTGGAAGAGAACAGCTATGCCTGAGGACACATAAACTTCTGCGAGGCAAAACCAGTAAAGATCTTGGGGTTTGGTGTCTAGTTGACAGGGTAGACGCGCTGTTGGCTGGCGAAAATGCACTACAGACAACCAGGAGCTGTTGTAACTCATCAATGGGAAATGAGCGATATAAATGAAACCAGGATGCTATCATATGTCTGTCATTCTCATGTGGCTTATTTCACCAATTCATCAACTGGTATTGAAAGTAAAGAGAACTTGGCCACCTGCTCAGATGTAGAATCGAGAACGTGGATAAAAAATACGTGATATGCACGCATGCTAACGAAATTCAAGTCAGATGGGTGGTAGTTATGGGAACTCAAAAATAAACACGTTTCAACTGTGCTCAAGACCCTTTGGAATTTCGCACCGGAAGTGAAATTGACATGTTGAGTGCGAAATTAGAAGATGTCTTGTCATGCGTTGTCACGAGCGGTTGTGAAACGCTGGGTGTCAACACTGATGTCAAAAGTTTCACAGAGTTGTGCATAGTTTAACAGGGGGCAAAAATAAATAGCTAGTTTTACCTATTGAATAAATTCAAAGCCATGCATCACGTACTGCCTACTATATTTGGTGGACGAAGAAAGCGTCACTGCACAACATTTTAGTGGAAGATTTACTAGTGAATTAGCTAAAATTTCCTACCAGGGTAATAGCAGGACGTCCAGTGGTAACACGGGGATTTTGCTTCTCGGAAAGACCCACGAAAAAGTTAATTTGTACACCATTGTAACGCTTACCTGCTAGCCTTCGGCTACAAAAGAACAATTTAGTTGGGGACATCCTTACAGGTATCCAGATTTTGTTGGCCTAACTAATTCCCCTTCGAACAAGCTACTTTTCATCATGAATACGACGTTTGCTTGTCGAACATGTTGAATCTGGGA